GTTTGTTATTTCAATGAGAGGTCTAATTCGTGAGGTTCTGCAAAGGCTGGATTGTCAAAGCAGGTCTTCCCAGACACTTACAGCCTGTTGCCTGGGCAGCCTCTTGGATCTCCCAACCCAAGCCAAAGGGCAGTGCCTACATCTCTGGACCTACGCTCTCATGAAGGCCGGAGACCCTGACCACACTTGGTGGGAGCTTAGAATCTTCAAATCAACTAGGTTGAATGTTGTGCCTAATCCGAGATCTTTCATTTGGATGCATCCCCCTGGCTGTTGAATTGGTAACTGGAGCAAGGAACTCCACCCTAGACATGCAGCCCCCTCAATTTCTACCCAAGGACAGCAGCCAACTCGAACCTCAGTTCCCTGGACTTTGCTTCCAGGTATGGCCAAGGAAGGCAGAGTTAGCCAAGCACTCCCCAGCCGTTTTCTCTTGCAGTTGAAGCCAGAAGTCCACCATTCTCCACACACAGCCTCCCAGAGCCCAAGCAAGCCTCAGATCCCACACCTAGGCCCGGGCCCACATAGGTATGCATGCACACACAGACAGCAGATGGCTGGGTAGAAGATGTTCCAGTGGCCACTCCCACACGAATAAAGGGGTCCGAACCCAGAAAAACAAAAGACAAGTTAGGAGCGGGGGAAAGGAAAAAAAGAAAGAAGGAATAAACTTAAAACAACTATGATGGTTTTCCCTTATTGTAAGACACGTCAGCCAGGACATACCTTTTGACTAGGACCGCACAGCTGTTCATCCTTGGGACTGGCTGGCCAACAAGGTAGATGGTCTTCATCACCCCAGGGGCCTTGAGCAAGTGTTGCTTTGGTTTATTTCAGGAGGTGCTACTGGAAACATAAAACAAAGTGCCTGGAGGGCACTATAAAAAATAGAAGAAATATGGGAGACTTGATCATCCAATGGGTATTTATACGTTTTTAAACAGGGGCAAGGGGAGAGGGAAATCTACTGTGAAGTAACGTCCTTTCTTCCATGAGCGCGGCCTCGGGTGGTTTGGTCACTGTTGAGTCCAGGACTTTCTGCTTATACTCCATTCCTGTGTTTGGAAATTGCTCTCCACCAGGAGGAAAGTGAGGAAAAAACCAGCAACAAGAAAACAGCAGCTCTGCTGATGGAGAAGGAGGATCCCACAGGCGCTGCAGGTCAGGGCCCAGGAGCTGGACGGGGGCCACACACAGGCTGCCCGTCTTCTCAGGAACTGCTGGCATGTTCTCGCAAGCAGAGAGGAAGATGGAAAGGTCGGGGGAGGAGAAATGGGGAGGGGGTCTGCCGTGGGGAGCCACCAGCTCCGTGGGGTACCAAGTGCCATCCTCTCCCATCAAGGAAATCCTCCCCCATACAGGCTTTCTTCTAAACAGGATATTACTTCAGTTTCTTTGATTTCCCTTCTCTCTCTCTCTGTCTCAAAAAAAAAAAAAAAAAAAAAAAAAAGGCCTGCTTCTAATCATAGCTAGAAGATATAAAATATCATTTTTTAACATTATTGGTTCTTTGTTTCCAAACCCAATGTTCCTCCTCTCTTCGTTTTGCCAATAAATAGGAAAACTGAGGAAATCAACTCTGCTCATGTCAAAAAGATCCCCTCCCCCCAAAAAACGAGATAATCCGCCTAACTTCCCATTTCTATGGAAAATAAATAGTACATCACGATGCCATCTCTCTGAAGGACTGTTATTCTTTCTTTTGTTCTGTTTTGTTTCAGTAGTCTGTGTTTCTGCTGTATGTACCCTAAGTAAAGGGAAGGAGGGGGGACAAGTGGAAAGTGAGAGGAAAAAGCAAGGATGAAGGGAAAACCTAAATTGTCTTTCATTAAAAAAATATATATATCAGAACCAGAGCAATGACCAAAGTCACAGGGTGATGGCTAATTGCCCAGAAAGTCCATTCCGTGCGTTTAGCAACTGCCCTTTTTATCTGCTGTGGGCGAACCCCGGCCACTGCGGCGTCCTCGGCAGGAGCGAGGCTCTTCCAAATCGTCCTCATCAAAGCCGTGGAAAGTTGAGGTGTCACTTTCTGACGTGGAACCGAATAAGTCCTCCGTGGTGCGTGCTGCGGCCGCTGCCTCCTTCTCCTTCCTGCCTTCTCCTCCCAAATGAGCTGACATGTATGATGAATATATCAGCACATGGGTTAAGCAACAGACAGCATTATTAATATTCTTATTACATTATTACAGTGTTATTCTTAATAGCAAAATCATAAACCATTTCACACCAAAAGGGATCAACTGGGTGTGTCACCTGGTGACGGGGGTTTGGGGTAACGGGACAAAGCCAACATTTCCAGGGAAAAGGATTCTCCCCTCCCTGAAAAGGCATCATCTCTACCATAATATATTTGTCCACAGCTCTGACAGCGCAAGATTCAACCACGATCTTTCTTTCTTCTCTTCCGAAGGCACACATTCGCATGCACGCTCGCTCAACCCACCCCAGACAATGCGTTTCCTTGGTGGTTTTTAAGCCTGGTTGGTATTTCTTTGGTGTTTTCAGTTGGCGTTTCTTTGCACAGTGTTTGTCCTTCACTTTGACAGTCAGCTTTACAAAGGTATTACTGTCAGATAACCCAGTCAAGGTGGTTAAGCCTCCATCCGTTTTATTTTTATTTTTACCCGTTTCTAATCCCATTCTTTCCATACCCTTTCAATTCTGCCCTTACATCATGTAGTTCATTTGCACTGAAAGCAAAAAGAAGTTGGAAAGTCTGATAAGTGGTAGGTAATAAAAGAGTCTCCCATTTTCTTTAACCACTGGAGGACATTTCTGTGATCTGCACCCCACACACGTGCACATACACATACACGTGTGTGTGCACACAGGCATGCACGCACACACACCAGGCCCTAAACACACCCAGGTCTGAGTTACTCCAGATCCAGAAAGTCCAGGGTTGTCAAATCTAACTCAGAGCACTGAGAAAGTGGGAAGTAGGGGTGGAAAAGCCAAATAAAAGACTGTATCCTGAAGTCTATAAAACTCCGGTAGAAACTTTTTCACGTTCCAAATGGGCCTCAGGACTGCCCCCGGTGAGGTCATAAGGCACCACTTAGGGTGCCAATTTCCGGAATCTCACTTTTTCTCCCAGGAAAAGTAGGTAGTGGGGTAGATGGGAAGGAAAAGACAGCTCTTCCGAGCTCCACACTCTTCCTTGGAAGGACTCCAGGGAGGCCCTAGAGAAGAAGTATTGGCCCACCTGCCTTAACAAGCATATCCCATGGGCTAATGCCACCTGCTTATTCCCAAGGTGTTGACTATTTCAGGAACATCGGAGTCAGACCTTGACTAAATTATCCACCAAAATTAATCCCTGGCAAATGCAATGAGAACACCTAGGCTGGTATAAAATGGCCCCCTGAGTCACATAGCAGACAGATCCTTGGAAGAAGAAGCTGAGTAAAGGCTGTGAAGAGAGAAGCTTTGTATAGAAAAAACCAACTGCCCACTTCTGGTCCCCCACGGATCAGATCCAAGTACCCGTCTTTTGTAGGAAAGGGAGAGGAGAAATTTCAGAAGTTTTCACTGAGAATTCTGAAGCTGCCTTCTCTAACTCATCCCAAACCCATAGCAGTCCATAAAATTCTGCCTAGAGTATCTTGCCACCAAGTAACTTTGTTGCTGGTGGTAGAGATTTTGTCTGATCGCTTGCTTTTTAAAAATGCTGAAGTGAATTTCATTTGTTTCATTTTCTTTTTGAGTACCTAAATCCCTCCACTATCACATGGGTCCTCTCTTCTAAGCTGGCACCAGTAGGATAAAGAGTTCAACGTTAGGTATCATGTTTGGCAAGTGAAGGAATTGACAGAATTGCACAGATGGGCCACCCTGTCAGGGTCCTTAAGGGCTAAATGCGGAGGGTTGTATGCAGTAAAAACCACAGTGCTTTTCCAATTACTGATTTGCTGTTCAAGACAGTCTTAAAGCTTAAACAACCCAAAACCAAATACAAAAGGACTAAAGCTAATGTCTGCGGACGGAGCGAGGGAAGAGCTGAGCTGCTATAGTAAAGCCGGGTGTGGTCATCTCAGGCCTTCTCTCAGGACTAGGAGTAGAACAGATGCTGGGTAGAGAGGTGGGAAGGAGCCATGACTCCTGGCTGGTGGAACGAACCACCCAACCAAACTGTATTTCACCTACTAGTCAGCAGTTGATGAGACTAAAGATGAGTCTGAAACCTTCTCTCCTCCCTGCCTTGCACTTTGGCTTCGTTATAACATAAAACAATATGAAAAGCCAACCACGATCCAGCGTAAAATAATGGAATTGGAAAGCAAAACAGCTTGCACAAAACTTGAAGACCTGTGCTCATTCTAAGAGTGGAAGAACAAGGCCAATTTTAGTCACTGAATAGATTGAAGATGAAAATTCAAAACATGCCAAGTCAACTGCAGAGGAGTCCTAAGAACACCTGCCCTTTGCCTCCTTGATCGACCGGGCTCTCTTTTGCTTTCCACATGAGAAAATGGGATAAGTGGCCAATGGGGTGGCATCTATGCAGCTACCCAGGAGCGCAGGGGTCTGTGCCCCCCACAGCTCCAGATGTGGCTGCTCTCCCAGTATTCACGTTTCCACATTCTTCCGGTTTGCCCCGGGCACTTCTGCAGAACCAACGCACCTCTTTGTTACGGGCACGTCACCCGATACAAGGAAGCACGTTGCCTGTGTCTCCGGGTGTTTCCACACTGTCTCACTGTCGTCCACAACAACACACACAAAGAAATATCCACCTCACAGAAAGGCTGGACAGACAAAAGCCCAAACCTTCTTCTTTCCCTTTTCCCCAGGTCCCAGGGCATAACTTCTAGTTCTTAAGCCTCAAGAAGAAACAAATCAAAATAACCTGAAAACCCATCTCCACTCGAAGTATCATCACCGTCACTTCTGCACCCACCCTTCAGCCCCTGACCCCCACAAGATGGCAGAGAGGTGCGAGTGGAAGAGTTCCTGGTCTGTGGGCACATGATGCGAGAAGGGGCCGCACTCACCAGAGCGTCCACAGTCTGCACAGGATACCAGCTCTTCCGGCCTCCCACTCTTCTTGTTCATGTTAGAACCCCCCAAGCAGAAGTCACAGTAGTTATTGGGAATGACTGTCCCATCCGGTCCTTTCTGGGCTGTGGAAACATTTTTTTAAAAATCCAGTGTTAGGCTCTGGTGAGTCTCCACCGGCCCCTCTTCTCCCATGGTATGGCAGAATCTGCTCCAGAAAGAATATGAAGTTTAGAATCTGAGGTTTTGTTACAACCAAGTTGTTAACTTGGGCAAAGTTTTCTTTATGATTCTCCTCGGTTCAACCGTACCAATGTCTTGCAAGCCATCCAGAGCTGAGTTTGATTGTAATATTTGTCAGCTCTGTGTTTTTATAGAAACTACTCTGCTCTTCTGATTGGATCCCTGGATCAGCGAAGCATCCAGAAGGCCTTACCAACCAAGTGAACTTCTCTCATCCCTGAACAATGAGCCCTTGGGACCCAAACATCAGATGGTAACCATCGACAGTGGTGTGACTAGAGGAAGACAGAAAGGTCACTACCTAGGCCTTGCCCTTGGGAAAGATGCTCTCATTTAGGAGATATTCCTTCTGTCTCTGAAAAGGAAAACAAAGAAGCACTGATGGGGGATCATTTGCAGGAAGGACCCTGAAGATGCTCTGGGGGACTCTGATGCACCTGTGGGCAGGTACACAGGTGTCCACTCTTGTTCAGCCCCATCTCCCTGAAGTCCAGACTTGTTGGTCATGGAAAGCACCCAGGACTAGTTAATCAGCAGACCCCAAGTGCCTAGAATCAGAACTGAACACTTAGCTCAGCCTCATACCGGAGATGGGTTGAACGGTGAGTTAGTGAGCATATCGGAGGCTTAAGACTTCCATAAGCCACCCTTACGGAAAGGCCCTACACAAAGACAAAGGAATATCTTGGGACATGATTTTAAAAACAAAGCCTCGTGAAAACAGCACATGTCCTCAAGCACTGAAATCTCAGTGTCTAGGGGCTGGTTAAAAAGCCGTGGACAGGTTCTTTACATGAGAAGAAATCCTTCCATTTTACTTGTTTTTTGATCCCTATTGTGGACATTTCTTGGTCATGTTAAAGCTCCCTGTTTGTGACTAAGAAGAAAAGTCTCTCTGTTTATGGGATCAGCCTAAACCACCGGGGTATCTTCCTCTCGCCTATCCCCAATGTCTGCCCCTATCGTTCATTATTCACTGCCTAACATTACTCAGGGTACAAATCTGTAAAAGGAAGCAGATATGTGAGCAGAAATACCATCCAGACAGTAAGTGATAAACGGATTCACCGACTTTAATATGATTCCCCCTGGCCTCCGCTTCCTCCATGCTTCTGCTTTGCCTCTAGGAATAGAAAAACTTACCTGGGGAAGGCGGAAGACAAAAGCTCACAGAATTGCATTATAGAGGGTTAATCCATTTATCAGTTGCTATTTGGATTGTTTAATCAGTTTCTAAGTCATTGATTTTCATCTTCAGGGAGGCAGACAATTCTCTGCAAGAAAAATGTGGGCTGTTTGTGGCAGACAGAGGAGGGGGCCACACCCTGTGGCCTGCGGAGTGTGGGTTTTTCTTCATCAGTCACTGCATCTCAAAGACAGATGTGTGTCATACAGAATGGTTTTGCAAATAACCTCCAAAAAGCAGGACGTCCGCAAAAATTTTATTCTGCCTATAAAATTTTCATTGCCCAAATCCAGAAAGAAGTCCCTTTCTTCTTTCTTTCTCAGTTGCCATCTTAACCACTTTTAGAACTCTCTCGGGACTTCCCTGGTGGTCCAGTGGTTGGGACTTTGCCTTTCAATGCAGGGAGTGCAGGTTCAATCCCTGGTCCGGGAGCTAAGATCCCACATGCCTCTCAGCCAAAAAACCAAAGCATAAAACAGAAGTAATATTGTAACAAATTCAATAAAGACTTTTTAAATGGTCTGCATCAAAAAAAAAAAAAAAAAAAGAACTCTTAAGAAAATCCAAGTATGTCTATGAAGCAAATAAACTCGGGGTTTCCTGATTAAGCGACTATCATGGAAATCAATCAAAAGATGAACAGTAAGACGAAGTGGGTTATATTAAATGTACGGGCTGAGTGTAAAACAGAGCTAAGTTTCATGATTGCTATGAACTAGATATAAAATGTGGAGATGCCGATCACAACTTACGTAGCTTCCTGCATGAAGAGTGGTCAAAGAATCCCATGTATATCATCACACTAAACCTCTCAGGAAGCCCAGTCTCATCACCTACCTCCTGTTCTCTTCGGGACCCCCTTTTAGGCCAGATTTTCTCCCCTTTCACAAAATCTTTAAGCAACAAAGAATCTGGTTTTTCTCCAACACACTATTCCTTGTGATTTATGAGGACGAAGAAGTAGAATATAGAGTATAAGAATGCCCAGATAATTCTACAGTTTTCACCACCAACAGACCATTGGTAGAACACCCTACCGAATCAGGGACTCTAATATGGCAAGAAATAAAAAATTCAGAAACAATCTAGTAGAGCAAAGCAGACAGTGATGGAGAAATCAATCCTATGGAGAAAGACCAGTGGAAGAGGATTTAATTCACCTGATGAAGAGAAGCTTCCGAGGAGACTGAAGCAGAGCAGGGTCCCCGCATATATTTGTTGGTTATACAAAGCTCCTGGCCAAAGGGATGAAAATGGTGATGAACTTCCAGCTGCAGGCCCTGGTGTGTACAGTTGTGACATGCCAGGTGAGCGGGTACCATTTTAGTCCAGCGAGGGCCCAGTGTAGAAAGTGATAGTGAGCAGTTAGACTTCATTTTCCAGTGAAATCCTTTCCACTTCAGTTCCTACTCTCCCCTCACAACAGTGAGCTCAAGCTTCCTTCCATCTTGGTAAAATGGCATGGGATGGACTAATCAATAGGTTTCACCTCTGGTTCTCGTACATTTTGGGGTATTTAGGATTAGTGAGGGTTCTCCCATGGAGCTCTCCCAAGTCCCCAGCCAGAAATGACCAGTCAGGCCTTAGGGAGAGCACGCTGTTGACATTGCTTCTATGGCCCTTCGCTTGTCTATACATGTATACACCTGCCTCATCACCCCATATTCAGTGGTTTACTCCTTCAGATCAGGGACCACATCCAACCCATTGTTGGAAAACCTATGTGTCCTGCACACAGGAAATGGTTAACAATGATGTGTGAGATGAATGGCTTAGAAAAGGATGGCAGAGAGGTAGGTAGGCAGCCCAGTGATGCCTTGGGAGCTCCTCCTAGGGGGACTGAGGCAGAGTTATCTGTCACTCTGAATATCACTCACTGCCCGGTTTATTTCCCCAGTCTCCAAAATGAAGAGCTGGTCCACGTCCAAATGGACGGTCGGTCATCTGGCCTGGGTCATGTCTAGCTCCCCGAGTACACAGAGTGGGTGGCCGAGAGCCCTGGGTTGCTGGAAGAATAACACTGTACTATTCCCTACTCTGGTAGGTGAGACATCGTCCTGCACACAGACATACAGGAAAAGTATAAGACTAGGACTCGCTGTCTCTTGAGAAGGGGACACCAGTTTGTGCCTACCCACCCAGCGCCCCCCATTCAACTGTTTGTTGAGAAGATGAAGCAGACACATATGACACCACAAAATGGTGACAGATCTTACGCTGATGCTTTACACACACTATTTCATTGATTCTCACAAGCATTTTGTGAAGTAGGGAGCAGTTGACAGATGAGGTAACTGAAGCCCAAAGAGATTAAGGGGCTGGCTTCAAGCCCCAGATAAGAAGTGGAGGAAGCGGGATTCACCCCCGGGGTTGCCTGTGTCCTCAGAGACTCTTGTCTCTAATCACATTTCTCTGCCTCCGGGAAGTCCAGAGCCAACGTTGCATATATAATATTTCATAAACGTGATTCACCCAGTACTTTCTTTGGGAAGCCCAAAGTGATAAAAAGTATTGAGATTGGCCTGATGAAGCGGAAATTCCCTTTGAACTTAAGTTTAATGTCTCTACCACTGTAATCCATCCCGGTGGCCCCAGTTATTGTCATATACTCCGTGAAAACACTTCTCCAAAGAATTCCAGAGGCTCATGAAGGAATTTTTTTAAGTAAAGCTCACACCGTGGCTTTATTGGCCTTTGGCCTGACCCATCCGTGAGCAATTTCCTGGCACCGTCTATGAGGTCATTATAAAAAGGATTTTGCTATAAATAGGAAGCTCGCCCAGACCTTGCAAGTGCATTTAAATAGAGATTCTGCTTCCGCTTATGGGAAATTGAGTCCCACTTTATAGAGCAAGATGACGGGGAGGCCAAAGACCCGAGTGGTATCTCGATGGCAGCGTCCGCGATGATGCCTTTGGTTTTCTGTTGATGAATGTTCATGGGCTGAGATCATATAAGCGATGCAAGGAAGCTGCTGAGAAAAGAAAGTGAGCCTTGAGAGTTTAGGGGTTTACCTGGGGGGCGGGAGGGGAATAAGTTTAAAAAGCTCAAAGGAAAACAAATGGAAATCAGAACAAAGTTCATGAGGAAATCCCCCAAAATAATAATAATAATAACAGAAGGTGGGAGGGAACATTCAAATAAATCAACCCAAGAGAAAGGAAAAGCCAAGCCCCAAAGAGTCCCACCAGCGCACTCGGGAAAGGGTGAGCAGTCATTCTGGAACGGCAGTGTGGCACATGACCATACTACAGGGTTCTTTACTTCAGTCAGGCCACGTGTCGAGGGCAAACAAGGCCCCTAGACAGGGCTGTCTTTTCCCCTTTCAGCCTGATTTCTGCCGCAATACGCCTGCCTGCCGCTCAAGAGGAACATGAGCGATGGGCACAGGCTGGCCACAAGCAGCAGCCCTTCACCTGCTTCTGCCGAGACCAGAGCTGCAGCCCTAGTGTCCTAGGGAAAGAGGAAGCAAGCCAGAAGTTTAGGCTCCTCCATGGCACATCCACGAAAGCGTGACTTCACATCCTGGGCAGACGCTCCGACCGCCTGCCAGGGCCTGGTGTGCACAGACGCGGGGCCATGTCCCGTGCCCGCCACCCAGCCTGACCCCAGCCCCAGGCCAGCAGCTGTCTCCCCAGAGCCCGCTAGCAGGGGTGTGCAGCGCTCCGGGACCCCAGGGGCACAGAGAAGAGCCCT